TTTTTTTTTACAAAAAACGAGCAATCCTAGCTCGGTCAGATGTCTCCCTTTCTCGCTCCTTTCCCCCTCCTATGTGGCGCAAAGTTAATACCCAAAAATTCGCTTGACTATCCTCATTTAGCCTGGAGAAAAAGACTCTCACCTGAACAATCAGTCTAGCCAGCTTCTGTTTGCCATAGCTGCTTGGAGTAAAGACAACACGTAGGGCGGTAAAATCGGCACGGTTCTCATCGGCGGCTGAGGCTGGAGGTAGGGTGCCAGAGGTGGTTTCCAGGTGGAAGTCTGCATCGCTGTTGTCATCCAGGAAGGCTATGAATTCTGCCGGTTCCCTGGAGAACCAAAGCGACAAAAAGCTTTCGGGTTATGAGCTTCAAGGGGTATCGGGAGCAATTTTCATAGACAATTTCTCCCTGAATTGAGTCAAAAATGCAAACGATAGGAGCAGGCTGTTCCGTTAAATTAATGGAGCTGCCTGGAGGCAAATTGCAGATATCAGAGCATGCAAGGTGGGAGATAATCACCGGCAAACTCCACCTGCAACGACCAATCTCGGCAAGAGCGATAGTTTAGTGCGGGCTCCAACCCTCCGATTGAAAGCCACTTCAACAATGTTCACTGCCACGAAAAACAGTGCGATTGCACAAGTCCTGCGCTTAAATATCGAGCCGCATTTTCTCACGAAACCGTCAGTGGGCGCCATTAGATTGTAGCTAAATACTAAAATAGATGACCTATCTCAAAGAAGGCCAACTTAACTTATGAAATGTGTTTTGTATTAGAAACGATATGTATGCGGGTTTAAAAAGTTTATGAGTCACAGCACAATCCCAAGATATTCCAATCAAGTCAGGGTTCCAGTTTTTGAATGGGCTTCGTCTCGGCCGCCTGCAAGAAGTAATCTGGGTAAAAAACACTGCGTTAGTAGCATACAGTATTCACAATGACTTTTTATGCCCTCATGAATTCAAACATCTTGTACCAACAGCACGTCTAAAATATACGTTTGCATTAGTGTGGTAGAAAATCACGTCTTCGTTCTTATTTATCCTTGAAACAGAAGAGCACCATTCCATTCAGACGAAATTTGGAATTATGGACTTTTAAATACGGAAGAATGTAATGAAGCCTGTACGGCGTCTTCTTTATAACGTATATCACCTACACTTTTCTCCACATGGAAACTTTGCAACATATAGTTAAGGAACACTAAGAACAAATGCAATTGGTGGTCCGATTGAGGAGTATCCTATGGTTTGAAAGGTTTTCTCAACGCTGAAGCATGCTTGTTATTTAACAAGGAGATAGTTAGCTCCCAAATAAGTAAAAGAAAGATTATTTTTGTGCATGTTGTCGATGAGATATATTTGAATTTATTGAGGCACCGAAAGCCAGGCGAAAATGCCTGCCGCGTAAATAGTCATTGTTCATTTAGTGCAGTTATACTATCTTGTCGCCTGCGCCTGGTAATTGAGGGAAGAGAGTATGCGAGGTGCTGCGATAGTCTGCCCCATTAAAAACGAATTAATCCGAAAGTCAACGACACCAAGTCTATTCCGTGGGGCACATGGTAAACGCCCTCCCTCGCGACGCTCGGACTGTGAAGGCGCAGTCTTTGCTGCCTGAATCGAATCGAGGAAGCAGGCATTTCATCAGTCGCTCAGCAACCGGGAAAGTTGATCGGAGGGAATGGGAGGCCTCATCCTTAATTACTTAAGTAGAAAGATTGGGGATGAAGAAAGCACTCTATGTCGCTCGTACAGTTTGACCTTATGCCGCATGCGTGCGACAAGCGCACGGTCAAGGTCACGGACGCACATTCAGAACTCCCGCGTGCTGATTGGCCACCCGCATGCAATTTACGCCGCCGTGTCTCCTAAATCTCCCGACACTTGTTTTCCCTTTCGTCCTCAATATATTTCGTGCCTGAACCCAGACTTCTGTTTTGCGTACATAATAAATAACCTTGTGGTTGGCTGCTGGATGGTTATCCAAGTTCTATCGAATGCAATTTTGGTTTTCAGTTTTCGGTAGAGTGTTTTGGTCCATTTGGGTATGTTTACCATTTTACGATAATATTTAATCGGTCCTGGCTTCTTATATCCGTAGCTAATTACCGTTTAAGGCTTGCAGCGCAACTGATGAGAACGCGATCTAGCACCATCCCAGGTAATAGCCAACGCCTGACTTGGTCCTTGCCCAAGGATGGAGAAGGTTAATCGAATGTGCCTGTCTACCAGTATGGGGGCTTTGCCATGAATACGCTTGCTCGTCACAACTCGCCCAACACAACGCTTACTGAGAAATGGAGAACATCCGAAGAGAACTTATTCAAATAGTAACCGGTACAAACTCACGAGCTCTTGCTGTTCAACATAACGTTCACGTGAACCGGACGACCGAGGCCCTGAGAATAGAAGGTTATTGTGTCATCGTAGGAGGGCTCGGTTGCTATGAGAAGCAACGGGAACTTCCAGACGGCTCCAGCTCCTGACCTGATCGAGAGTGTAGCTGGAAGCCTGAAATGGAACGTGAAACTCTTAAAAGGCGTCTAAGGTTATTACGGTGGTTTTAAAAGAAAATACCCTTTTACTGGCGGTTTCCGTCCACCGAAATTATAAGAAGTAAGCGCTGAGGGCTGAGGGGGGATAACCGGCACTTGCAAAACTCCCATACCCTTACGTAGATAGGTATTTGAAGTGCGGAACAGGCTAATTCTGTTGTACCTTGGATTCCAAACCAGGATCCTGGCCGACAATCATAAGGCATCATTTATGAACATTCACGCAACCTCTAACGGAAGTCATTGGTCCCGCTCTGCCTGGGATCAGGGCAGCAGCTGATAGTGTAGGCAGATAGTATCGCCGGCAAAGACAGGGGAAACTGGAGAGAGCCCGTGGCTCAATGGTTAGGACGTTTGGCTCTGATCAAAGAGGTCGTGAGTTCGAGGCTCGGGTGGGACAGCGCCTGGGTCTGGGTATGACTGGCTGACGATGTCTAGTAAGCCAGAAATGGCCACTTCAGTCTCCCTTTTCTTTGCCGGCAATATTATCAGTCATATGGCGTCCACCAATACTATAGGAGGAAGATGACGATGGCCATTTCTGACCTAGTAGTCCTTGCCAGTCAGCCTCCCGGGGCTCTAGATTGAGTTTAAAGACAGAAGGGAGTGAGTATGCTCGCAAGCTACTAACTATGCGCGACTGGAACCGTCAGTATATGGGACTCTACTCTGTGGAGTAGATCATACTATTTGGACAAATATCCAAACGGATGCAAGAACATCATCTGGTCTGGCTAAACCGAGACTTCGTCCTCTAGCAAAATTTTGGTTCATTTGGTTGACAGTAGGTCATCGGGCAGACGCCAACCGAGCATCCCGAGTTATTTATGAAGTGCAGCTGAAACTCTCCAAGTTTCTCCGTCAGCGGATACTTGCGACAGCAGAGGCAATTTGTATGCGGATAGCCAATCCAGCTTTGTGTGCGTAGAAGGAATTAATACAGATACTAAGAGGTAGGATGGCACAGAAATCTTGTCATCCTGGATGACTAAGAAACCTCCACACGCGAAAGCGCGCGTGCGTAACAGGGCCGTCAGGTTGTGTGACCCTGAAGGCTACGAAGGTTTAACCCTAACGTTTGCGATCTTCCAGGCCCAGTCCCTTAGGAGATGAGAGAAGTCTTGGAAAACCAGAGGAGTAGGAAGATTGTATTCCGTACAGAATAAATAGGAGAATAGTTAGCAGAAGGATTGACTCGATCTGGCGTGCTTTCGACCGTTAGAGCGGTGTGAGAGAGCAATGGCGGCGTGTCCGCCCCGCGAGGGGGCAGAATGTCAAGTGAGTCTAGCGTCAGTCATCGGGGCGGCTGCCGAATCCTCGCGCAGTCTCGCGGCCTTGATGGTGATTGGTTAGAACGCACGAACGTAGACACTAGCGTGGGTGGTGAGTGTCTCATGCGCCAGTTTGCGTCTGGTT